ATTATCCCTACATCGCACTGCCTGGTGTTTCCGTCAACGGTTGGGCATGGTGTGACAGTTGCACCATTTGAAGCTCTCTATGGCCGAAAATGTCGATCTCATATTTTTTAGACAGAAGTCAGAGATATCCAGCTAGCCAAGAAATATTCAGGAGATACCCTAAAGACCGGCCTGGAGATCATTCACGAGACAACCGAGAAGATAGTGCAAATCATGGAAGGCATTAAGGCAGCACGTGATTGTCAAAAGAGTTATGCCGACAAGAGATGAAAACCCTTAGAATTCCAAGTTGGAGACAGGGTTATGCTTAAAGTATCTCCTTGTAAAGGAGTGATAAGATTTAGGAAACGAGGAAAGCTAAATATGAGGTACATCGGACCATTCAAAAACTTCGAAAGGATTGGTTCATTGGCTTATCGATTAAAGTTACCCCAGGAGCTCGATAATGTGTACGATGTCTTCCATGTGTTTAATCTAAATAAGTGTCTCTCCGACGATACACTTGTTATCCCACTTGACGAGATTCAGGTCAACTCTGAACTGAACTTCATTGAAGACTCAGTCGAAATCATGGACAGAGAGGTCAAATGACTCAAGCAAAGTCAGATTCCCATAGTTAAGGAACGATAGAACTCGAAATGAGGACCAGAATACACACTGGAATGGGAGGACCAGATGAAGAACAAGTACCCTCACTTATTTGAAGGGAACCCGACGACAAGATTAATTTCGGGGACGAAATTTCCTAAACGGGGGGAAATGTGACAACTGAGAAAGTATGTCACCGACCACCGATAGGAAATGGTAGAAACAATAAATGTAATAGCTTAGAGTCGTAATATTCGATTTAAATATAATCAAATAAGTTGTACATTTAATGACAAATCAACTGTTAAGCTCGAAAATAAGATGAAAAAAAGTTTTACCAACTTTTAAAACAGTTGACATAATTAGAAAGTACTCGTCGAAGTGATCTCAACGATATAAAATTCGTAAAAATCCGACTCCAAATGGAAGAGTTATGATTTATTTAAAAAGTATAAATTAGCCGCGTAATTAAAATTAATTACGTCGAAACCCAACGGAGAGATCGGTTGAATTTTAGCTAGTGTCGTCAAAATGGGATTTGTAGTACTCCTTGAGATGTAAACAATAAGACAAAGAATGCTGAAAACGGAATCCATAAGGGAAAGATATGATTTTTGTAAAATCATTTATTTTTATATCCGTTGGGCATAAAAATAAAAGTCAAAACTAGATAACGCAACTTAAAGGAAAGTTGTAGTACTCTTTGAGACCATCACATAAATATAAAAATGGTCTAGATCGGAGCTCGTACGAAGACAATACGATTTTTTCAAAATCTTTTTGTGTGGGCAGCGTGTGTGTTTTGCCCGGCTCAACCCTACATCAACGGTATCACGCTTCAATGGTGAGTTCACAACCCCATTTTACTTTTAAAGGTTTTCAAAAGGGGGGTGGTACATGTTTATCAAACTGCCTTATTAAAATACATTTATGTAAATATATTAGTTGATATAAATGTATAAAACTTAGGATAACATAGATACATTAGGTGTAAGCTATGATATTATGCCTAAGAGTTATGTTGCCTAATAATCTAGGACGAGATAATACCTATATGTTATGCTGACCAAATGCCTAGGGTAACTTAGTAATGAAGAAATGCTATTAAAAAACATGGATATTCATTGTACTTAACTGTTACTCTGCCCGAATATCTTATTTTTCAGAATAAAAATAATTAAAGTGTGTGTGTTATATATATATATATATATATATATATATATATATATAGTAAAAGATGTATATACAGATATAATTTGATGTATATATTTACGGTATTATATATATATATATATATATATATATATATATATATATATATATATATATATAGGGATAGTTATGGAAAGATTAAAACACATAAAGACTAAAAGTGTGAGTGAGCCAAAAGATATTCATCAATTAAATCCTTGATTAAATTCGGCTACCTCGGCCTATAATCGTTAATCTTTGAGGGAGCCGGTGAGATACGTATAGATCTATACGAGGTTTGACACCCCCACCTGCGACTGCTAGCTACAATCCGTAGAGGGTCCCCTTCTAGCAGTGGTTATTATAATTTAAGGAAGATAACATACCTTCTTAAAAATAAATTATAATAGAACTAGGGTTAAATAAGAATCCTAAAACACACAGTAAGTTAGGAAGGATAATTATCCTAACAGTATCACAGAAAGATTTTCCTAAAACTAAAAGAATCTTTAAGACTAAAAGATCAGTTTAAGGAAAAAAAATCATAAAAACTTGTGAACTCACCAACATTATGTTGACGTTTTAAAATACTTGTATTCTCAGGGAGATGAGTGTGGAGGATAGTGCTGAAGAGAAGGGGATCGTCATGGAAGCTTGTTGAAAGTTATTTTTGTTTATCTTGTGTATCGTTATGTTTTCCAAGAATGTTTAAAACTATCGATGTAACCCCCAATTAATATAATGAATAAAATTAACTTTTGTTTTATATTCTGTATACTATTCAATTGTGATTGTTTGTCGAGAATCCAATCATCCCTAAGTCACACTGCCTGGCGTTTCTATCATCGGTCGGGCAGGATGTGACAAATCTAGACACACATACCCTTGTAGTCTATTTAACCTTCTTTTGATCTTGATGGAGAGAGTGCTAAGGGCCCAACATAGAGCTCCTCTTTCGTAGTCGCACCCAAGATAAGATTCATCAACACTCGACACCATTCCTAGCTTTCTAACGCAATTAACATGAATCATAAAAACCAATATGCGGTAGGATACGTCACGCATAACAAGGGGCTTGTAACGTCCTAGTGCCAGCGGAGTCGCGGAGGGTTTCGAGAGAATCAGGGTGTTCATAAATTCTTAGTGTTTTCCAACCGTTTCAAAGTCACCCCAACACCTCTATTTATGACGGTGAAGTTAGGATTTCCATAAAGTGGTTGCTTGGTCACAAAGCAACTATATGTCATTTTAAACCCTTAAAGATTTACTAGTTTGTATTAATTTATTAATCTCTAATAAATTAACAAACTAACTCCTCTTTATTTTTGTGTTTTCAATTATTGTTTAAATTTTTCTTCTGTGTAACCCAAAAGAACCCTACTATTAGTAGTAATAATACGAACTTGTTGTGACTGTGGACACTATCTTCCAACAAAAACTTCGTGTCAATTTGAAAAAAAAAAGCGTAGTGTCTTTTGTGTTATTTTTTATTTTGGCATGTCATTATGCCACATCAACATCACATAACCAAATAGATCATGTCACATCATCAATGACTTACATATCAGTATGCCCGTCAGTTGGTAACTAGGTTGACTGGTTAAATGGTCAACATTGCAAAAATTGAAAAAATAGTAACTAAATTGTAACAAAAAATAGCACAATATCAAAATAAATATTTTGTTAAAGCATAATGAATTTTACCCTTACATTAACATTGTGTTCTCGAGTGCAAAATTAAGGAGGGGGAATGGAAAAGAGGGATATGGAATGAGAAAAAAATCATTGAATAGATTCGCAGTAGGAGGGAAAGAACTTTCAGAGTTAATTGACATTTTTACCCCTGGTTGGTTGGGGTTTATCAACTTCATTAGAGGCGGGGGAGGAAGAAGATAAGGCATCGATGATAAGGCTAAGGTAGAATGATGTTTCAACCGGATGGGATCTTGATCGAAACGATGATGTTATGAGAATAAGAGAATACAATGATTACAACCTTCACCATGTTTTTTTTAGGTGGGAAGGAAGATGCTTTGAGAAGGCAGACGAGGAACATGACAAGGGTAAAATTGGTCATTATTTTCTTTCCTTCCCAATCTGCCCAAAATGATTTGGTTTGTAAAATTTCCCCCTTCAAATCATTCCCTTTCTTTTCATTTCTCTCCTTAAAAAAAACTGAAGAACACCCTTTCAAAACATGTCATCATAAATATGAAGTACCTTGTCACAACAGAAGTTATATGTTTTAAAGTGTAGAACTAAAACTTGTTTGGTTTTTTTCTCACTATTTGGTTTTCACAAGTAATGTCCCGCCAATTCATCACACAACAAACATGGAGCCAAAAACAAAATTAGTCGAGAAGACTAAGGGGCATGCGATTATGCTGGAATAATCATCACATTTGGCCTCTAACCACCATCAATTGAAGGACTCTATGAATTAATTCTAATTTTTTCAACGGTAATAAAAATGGTTCATAATAAATCGATTTTGGTTTTTGTAACCAACCCTCTTATATTCGATTTTAATATTTGTTTTCTAGTTTTTTATTTCAATCTTTTTTAATACATCGATTATGATAATATGGTTTAACGCATCCTTCAAAAAAAACTTTGTGTTAATCTGATATCACGCAGCATCACGGGTTCTAATTTTTTATTTATGATTCATGTTAATCTAGCTTTTGATTCGTGTAAATTTTAAGATTTCATTATTGTTCTTCACCTCATTTATGTTGGTTTTGTGATAAAAAGTTAATTTATGTGTTTCCTTTATGATATTCTTGTTGATAACTTAAACTTCAACATCACAAGTTTTGAAATCCTTGTTTCCAGAGCCTAGAAAACAATTCAAAAATCATTATCATTTTTGTTGAAAAACGATTCTGAAAACGATTATACATTACAAGTTCACAATTAGGTGTTTTCGTTTCATTTACCTTTTTTTTTATTGTTTTATAAGTTTAAAATAATAACATGTTGCCTAGAAAACATTTATCTGGTAGTGAGGAAAAAAAAAAAAACAAGACAATTTATATATTGTTCCACTCAAAAAGATGGAATATAGACTAACAGTGAATCTCTCGTCAGCAAAAAAAGAGATGTATAAGACATGAATATCCTTCACTTGTTATCCTTATCATAGAATTAACATAGCCAATAAGTTGAAGTGTATTCATTCATTTTAAATTTGTAAAAGGAAACCAATATGCGCAAAAGAGGCACCAATATCCTTTAGGTCATTTCAAAAAAACGAATTAATACAACTTAATCAAGGGATACTAAAGAACAATCATCACAAAAGTCAAAAAAAAAAAAATACAACTCAAAATTGTTAAGTGAATTCGTTTGTAAGAGGGAAATTAGCATATGCGATTTCTAAGCAGACACTGTGGCTTTAGCTTCTTCTGTTTGCAAAGAAGCATAGTATTTGACAAGAACTTCCCATCCTCCAGGACACATAAAACCATTTGGAGGGCTTTCTCCTGTTCTTGCAAAAGTTCTCATCTGAAAAGAAAATAAAAAAGAAACATGTCAAATGAATTGGAATATATATATATAAAAGAATCATTTCATATCATGTGTTTAGTTTATTAAAAAAGAAAAAACAAATACTACTAACCTTGGTCCCAGAGATGAAAAGAAAATCTTTAGCACGTGAAGGATCGAAAAAAGCCATTTGTTTAGCTACTGTGTCGTATGCTGCCACCTGTGACAAAATATTAATAGATTAAGAAACATTTTTATCATCATAACAATAAAGAATGGCTACAAATTTCTAGCACAAATAATTTTAAACATATATGTTCATGTATTCTTGCATAAATAAATATATAGTAACAAAAAATGACCATAATGTTGCCTTATAACATTACTACAGTTATAAATATAACTTGAACAAAATACATAAGGAATAATAAAAGTATAAAACCTCTATGTTATGGATATTTTTAGTTGGCAAATTACAACAAATAATAATATACTTTCACTTAGATTCTAATTTGGTCATTTGACTTAAAATCATTAATAACACCACTGTTTTTATCAAAACTGATTTTATTTTAAGTAATTTCGACTCAAAATCCCTAAAATAGTGGTGTGGTTGAATGTTTTTATGAAGGTTAAAATGCTTGTTTACACAACAATGTTTCACCTTTTATCTCATTTATGCAACAAGGTGATATTTTAGACTATAATATGCAACCATGTTTTTCAATTTAGGACCAAAAGTTGCAAAATGGTTACTTCATGACTTGGCATCAGTTAAATGCTTACTTATACAACAATGATTAACGTTTTTACTAATTTTTGCAACAATGTTTCATTTTTTACCAATTCATGCAACTCACCCGAATTATGCATATTTTGGTCCTAGAATAAAACGTTGCATATTTAGTTTAAAAACTCACTTTTGTTGCATAAATTGAGAAAAAAAATGTTAAGGCTACGTTTGGCGTATTAGCTGAAAAGCTAGTTGATGGCTGAAATGCTAGCTGTTAAATAAAAAGCTAGTTGGTAGCTGAAAAGCTAGCTGATAAAAAATAACTTTTGGTAAAACTAGCTGAAAAGCTAGCTGAAAGATATAAAATGCCATAAAAGGACATTTAAAAGAATGTGTTTATATAATTAATTAAGGGGTATATTTGGAAAAATTTTAAAAAGCTCCTAAAAAGCTAGTCTAAGTAGCTTTTTAAAAAGCTAGCTTATAAGCTACTTTTTGGCTTGCCAAACATGACAACTTAAAAAAACTCGAAAAATAAGCTAGCTTATCAGCTAACTGTGGCATGCCAAACACAGCCTAAATGTCTTGGCATAAACAAACATTTAACCCTTTTCACAATCGTTTTCGAAAACCGAATGTCAGATGGTTGAATGAAAAAGACAAAAATACCCTTGTTAAAAAGGTATCGAAAGGCATACATACCCTAAATGGCAAAATGTTCAACTTCTCTAAGCCAGGAGCCATGCTCAAGACTTTTTTACCATGATCCGGATCATACAAGTCCCGTTTTTCGGTTGGGTGACCCATGCCAGCTGGATCACGGCCCACAATGTAGAAATTAGCACCCGCGTTTATTCTTGCCTTAGCATGCCATTGTACTTCTGTGGGACCCGCATAATGCATTGGAGATGGGAATATAGATACAATCGTTGTCTCAGGGTCAAGCACTCCATCTTCTAACACCTAAGAATGAATCAAATACTTTTATAAATTGCAAATTTGAAAAATATATATATATATATATATATATATATATATATATATATATATATATATATATATATATATATATATTCATGATTAAAAAAAGTATATTGCCACAAGTTTATGCTTTTACATTAATAGATGATGGTGACATTGCTTAATCTTGATAAGCTACATATGGGTGTTTCTTTTTGGCTTAATGTAGAAAGAACAACTTAACTTTTTTAGAAATTTACCCTTGTTTTACTTTTTTTTCCACTTTCACGAGTGTGTTGTCATTTTCTCCAATATTTTTTGAACATCATTCATTGGACAACACATAATGAGAAAAAAAAATGGGGTCTTATGTTAATAAGGACATAACTTGATGCATGTAAATAGAGCGATAATAATTAGTAACAATCTTTTAGTAAGTTCTAAAAAAAAAAAAAAACTAATCCCAAATAGATATTGGTGCTTTACTTCAAATGAAAGCTTAGGGGACACTTGAACACATGTTTACTAATTAAGTAATGTGGTTCCATTTTGGTTTGTGTTACTTAAATGTAATAAATAGGAATTTACTTCCGTTGATTTGTTTATTACAACACTCTACTTTGCAAAATCTACCCAAAATCTACCCAATTATAGCAATCTCATCCAAACACAAAGCAATTTGGATTGTTAACCGAGTAGATTTTTTAAAGTGTAATGTCCTAACAAGAAGAAAAAAAAACAAAACCACAATGTTACAATTTGGAAGATATTAGAAAGTAGAATACCTTAAAAAAGAAAATAACCAAAAATGCAATGCTATAATAGAAAGAAAATGAAAATGGAAAGTGGGAAGTACCTTGCTATGTTGTTCCATACGAACATCAAGTGGCACATCATCGGCTTTTGTGTATCCCCCTAAAGGATGAAGCAAAAGAATAGGATTCTTGTATCCCATATCTAAAAGTCTCCTACGTGTGTCATTCATCAACAATGCATGCCCATTATGCACTGGATTCCTTAGTTGAAAAGCAAACACTGCATCCGCCTGACGTCTGTCGAATTCTTTCCTAAGTTGTTTAGGAGAAAGTCTGTAACTATCAAGACCATCATTGTATTTAATAGGTGATAATACTTCTAAATCTCCACCAATGAGCCAATTGCCACTTGGAGTTATTACTTCCTCAACATATGGTAATCCGGGAGCAATGGTTCCCCATGTTCTTGCAATTCGTTCTTCTTTGTTGTGTTTGTATATCTCAATGCTAAAATCATGAAGAAAGATATGTAATTTAGGTCATGAATCATGATGTGAATTGTACTTGGTAGATATGAGAAAGAAGAAGATAAAGTTATGTTGTATATATAATCAAGATGTTGTGTCTTAATCTATGGAGCATTTGTAAACAAATGCATTTGAGGGAGTAGTCTATCATCTTCTTCAATTTCTTAAAATTCATCAAATCTTTATTTATTATTGAATATTAAACTTGAAATTAAATTCGTAATAATATATCTCGAACTCATGAAGACAAAATCTAAGGTACAACGTCATAGTTATTTTCAATTTAGCAAAAGACTTCAAATCACTAATCGATTTAAACATATGTCCCAAACAACTACATAGAAAGTTATTATCTTTAGATATCAAATACTGAATTAATAACATAATCAAAAGAGAAATGCAAACCTTCTTAGAATGGCAACTATCTTCTGATCAGGCCCAACCAAAGCCACATCATTAGCACCACCAATCTTCTCTTTAGTCGCATCATCAATGGCCAAAACAATAGGTAAAGACATATTCACTATACTCCCATACCCATCATCGTTCTTCATCCTCAATGAATTAAAATGCAAACTTTGCAAATACTCATCTTCTCTCATGAAACCTTTCAATGGACTCGCCCATCCTTCGCTAATCACATGCACCCACTCCAAATCAATCTTCGTTAACTGCACTTTCTCCATTCCCTCCGCCTGTGAAGCTTTCAATTCCCTTTGATTTTCTGGAACAACCAGATCAATCAGAACGCCGCCGTCTGGTTCGATCAGAGAACTCTTGACTACATGAGACGCCGCCATCTTTTTGGTACGAAACAAGAGGGAAGTGGATAATTTGTTGGAATGGTAAATGGGTGTTCGTGAAATGATGGGATTTTTCTGGGTTTTGCGATTGAGGTCGAAATGTGAAATGGTGGGAGCGATTCGCAGCTTAATTGTGAGAGACATTTTGAAGAACTGTTGTTAGGGTTTTGGTGTTGTGACCTACAATGATTGAAGAGATTCGGGGGGAGTGAGGGAATGTGAAGGAATTGGTGGACGACATCATTGGAAACGGGAATTTATGAGCGACGGATAGGAAGCAATCAAAAGAGGTCCACAAATTTGATTTTGATTTGAATCTGTGAAATGAAACTGAGGAGAAGCATCAAAATTTTGATATTTTTCCCTTTATGCCATCAAAAATGACATCTTTCTCTATAATTGTGACTTCTTTTGAACAAGAATCCTTTTATGGACCCACTGAGGAACTATTAACACCATGCCGCTGGGATGACAATCTTGAATTATATTTATACACACTTATTCAAGAAAGGCTTCTTGCTACAGAAATACATTGTTTTAGAACACTTTCACGTTTATTAACTTTAATGTAATAAAAATTTATTATTCCTGATCATAATTCTTTTTCTAAATCGTTTTTCAGAAAACTTATTACTGATTTGTCCTTATTTAAATAAAAGTTTATATAACATTTTTATCTAAATTTATATTTTAAAAATACATATATAATTATAATTTTTCCGCCTATGGATAATACAAAGCAAATGACTTGAGTGAGTGGTGACATTTTTATCTCGGCAAATGACTTGAATGAGTGAGTGACATTTTTATCTCGGAGTGACTTGAGTGGATAATACAAAGCAAATGACTTGAATGACTTGAGTGGATAATACAAAGCAAATGACTTGAGTGAGTTGTGACATTTTTATCTCGGCAATGAGTTACTAACTCTCTGTCTCTTCCCACGTAGTGTACGACTAATCTTACATATAATTATAAAAATAAAAAGAATTAAAATATTATACTATCTTCATGTTTTTTTTAAACAATCAATATTGATATTATTTTTATTATTTTGACAAATATTTTCTAAAGATATTTTTCACTATAATTAACATTCTATCTTAATATATATATATATATATATATATATATATATATATATATATATATATATATATATATATATATACCGTTTCAGTTGTATTTTTTGCTAAACACACTGTTTTACATGATTATAGAAAAAATAAGATAAAGTTATAATCCGCATCATGGTTTAATAAATAACATGTATGTATGAGATTTTGTAACTTTATCTTTTTCGCTATAAATAACTTTTTATCTTCTTTTTTCTCGTATCTACCAAGTATGATTTACATCATGGTTTAACAAATCACGTAAAGCGTCTAACTATTCAACAAAGGAATTCATAGCCAAAAACAGAAGAAAGTAAGAAAGAAACAACAATGGAGGAAACGCAAAAAGGCTAGAGAGGACGAAAAAATAAAAAGAATACAAAAATCCCTATGTGCGAAAGATTCAAAATCCCTAAGGGTGAAAGATTCAAAACCCTAAGATAATGATGGTAACTGATGTCACGTCTTGGAAAAAAAATGTTGCATCGTGCAGCCACAACGACGAGAACTAAACACAAGGCCATACATGACATGTACTAGTCTCAACCATCACAACTAAGCAATCATTCACCATAATGGCTAAGACTATGAGGACTTAATGACGTGCCTACTGGCCACGTCAAAGGGGATTAACAGCAGTAATGCCCAATCCATGCTAGACGGGGGACTCATCCTTCGAGGCCTAACTCCCTAAGCAGTCGTATGGCAGTCCAACTGCCCATCCCCAAAGAAAGTGTACCTCATGTCAACCTTGTTGTCTGACGACCGGCCTATAATATCCACAGTTAAGTCGTCATGCGACAAAGAAACATATACAAGCTCCAGTGGTGACCACTACCAATGCTTCTGCTAAGCCAATCACAACTCAGACAAGAGACAATGGTACGACCCATCAATCACTTCCATTGTCTCGAATCGGGTCTGACATGTCCCCTAAAGTGGGATCTATGTCAAGTGCATCACTACATAGACTATATAAGGTGTAACGACCTGATGTCTTCTCCTTTTGTACCACGACTGCCACCTGAAATTAAAAACACTTTACATCCCAAGTTTAATCATGGGTTTACAATAAAATCTATATATTAATTGAACAACAAGGTGAATATAATAATAACAACCTACTGTCTAATTTTTAACCTTGTGTCATGTCTTCTCCTCTTGTACCGCGACTACTACGTGGAACATGCAAAACATAAAGCATATCTACAACATCAGACAAAATGTGGTTTGGTGAGTTATTCTTCTATATTTCTTATTTTTCTTTTCCTTATTTTTCTCATACTCTATCATATAACTCTTTCTTGCATATATTGTTATCATTTCTCTTCTTATCTATCCATTCCCCTCTAATCTCATATTTTCATCTCTTACTCTTTCCCAACCTCTTCTCAAGCTCATCTTATACTCTACACAGACTCTATCTTTGTTTCTACCTCCATCTATTATTTATTATGCCTCTTCTCTACTCTATCTTTTCTCTACTCTTTCTCTTATTTGCTTTATCTCTTCTTTACTATTTCTCTTCTCTGCTCTATCTCTTCTCAATCTCGTACTTTGTTCTTCTCCATATCTCTTACTCTTAGTGTAACACTCGGTTTCCAAAGTGGATCAGTATAGGGCATTAAGGAGTCAGAGGCATGGTTTTTGGGACAAACCATGAGTCACGACGTGACCATAAGGAGTTCACGATGTAACACTGTAAATTTTCAAACAAAATTTTCATTTTTAAATCTCATAAAAACAGTATCACATTTTCTAAAATCACCATGTATCAAGTATCAAAACACGATTTAACAAAACAACTGATAATATCCCAGAATCCTCGACACAGTCTCAAACATGTATGTACAATCAAGTTGGCGCCTTCCCGCGATCCTGAGAAGTACCTGAAACACATAACACACAACACGGTAAGCACGGAGCTTAGTGAGTTCCCCAAAATACCACATACACAAATAATAAGCCTCTCATGGCTATAACTCGGCATGGACCCTCCGGTCTCATGCGTCTCGGTGAGGACCCTCTGGTCTCACGGCTCGGTGTGGACCCTCCGATCATGTGTCTCAGTGAAGACCATCCGGTCTCACAACTCGGTTTGGACCCTCCGGTCCTAACTCAGTAAAGCACAGAATAATATTGCATATATCACAAAGACAAAATGCATAATATCACATAACTCAATATAAGCACATAGGACTGTCACACCCCCCCAAACCAGAATGGCGGAAACATTCGGGGGCGGATGACTTCACGTAGTATCATAACAGTTGAATATTTGTAAAGAAAGTAAACACAACCATCATAAATATAATTTAAAAGTTACATTGTTGAATACAATACATGTCTCAAAACAAATTACAATATGATGAGTTAATAAGTTTTTAGACTGGCGACTTAGCGTCCCTTCTCCAAAAGCTGATGATCTACCTGTATTACTGAATCCCTGAGAAATACAAGTAGTTTTGAAAAAGTGTCAACAATTAAGTTGGTGAGTTCATAAGCGTTTTTGTTTAAGAACAGAATCCTTTTTGGTGTAAAATAACCGAGTTTGTTCCTAGAAAATCCAATATTTTCCATATATGTGTGGTAGTTTGAAAAGGTTCCAAAGACTGAATGCATAAGTGTTTTCCATACTTGAATTAGTATAAGTAGATTTATATAAGTATATATAATCACTAAGGAGTTTAACAGCCCCGTAAACCGAGATGTATTAATACCCCATGTGAGTTTTTATAACCGTGCTATTGACCCAGACTGCCTGTAACAACGTTCGTCAGGCGTTGGAATGATATGACGTTTGTCACCCCAGACCTGCCGGTCTAACTGTAGCTAACAATTTAGGTGCGGGATTGTCAGTCCCATATAGATCTATACACAAATATCACGCTCTCCCTACAAGAGATTATGGCTTATAAAACAGGACTTAATCTGCGAACTGAACGGTTCGATGAATTCAGATATCTCACAAAACTTGGTATCAACAGGTTTACGTATGAAAAGTCCATTTTCCTTGTGAAAATAAGTATTTTCTCTTTTGTTTATAGTATGTAAAAAATATCATGAATATCTCGTAACTATACCTATTATAGTTTCAAAAAGGGTGTTCCGTTAGGATGAAAAACCTTGGTGTGTTACCAACCTTGCCTGAAAAGTAATCTTTAACTTTAGTAGTTACGTTATTTTATGTATTTAACATTTATACACAAGATGTAGGTAAAACATGTGGACTTATAAGTATTTCAACGTAAGTTTTTCTTGTGTTTCACTTGTATTTCCCCCCCCCCCCCCCCTAAAACATAGAAAAGACGTGAAAATGTAGGGGTATGAACTCACTTGATAAGTGGTGAATCGGGCAGCGTTTCGTTTCTAGGAAGGATTGTTCTTGACAAAACAACGGGTTTCTGGTGAAAACCGGGCTTCACGCGGGCAGTACTTCGACTGGAAATACTGTTTTTCTCGGGAACTTCGGGCGTCGGGACTTGCGTCGTATGCTAGGGGTGTTACTGGGGCTTCAGGGTGGTTTAGAGGGGCTTGAGAGGTGTTTTAAGGTGAAAGGAATGAGAGTAAAGCAACCAAACTCGAGCAGCCCTCGCATCCTATTTATAGGGGCTGAAACCCCGATTTACGTTGGGCGTAACTTCAGAGTACGCTGGGCGTACTCCCTCTACAAGCAGTACGTTGGGCGTACATTGGGTACGTTGGGCGTACTCTTCGGATAAGCTTTCGTATGCGTGCCTTGAACTTCAAAAATTCAAAACTTTCGCATACGAGCTCCGTTTTCGACGTTCTTTATATCCACGCGTAGGTGAGAATATGCTCTACAACTTTCATTTAGACTTCGTCAGCTAATTTTGACTTTATTTTTAATATATTTTTAACGGGCCGGGACTGGAATAAATTTTTAACGGGCCGGGACTGGAAAAGTCCGTTAAAAATCCATAACTTCTTCATCCGACGTCCGTTTTCGTCTGTCTTTTCACCGTTGTACTTGATGGGTTTTAGGTGAAACAAATAAACTAGAAAACAATTCTTAAGTTCACATGCAACCTACTTTGGATCTATGTTTTAACTATTGAACATATAACTTTGAATTGCAAAACAAGAACCCTAGAAGAGAGAGGCTATTTTCGAAAATAACTAACTAGGGTTTAAGAGTTACATACCTTTCAATTGTTATAGCAAACAATTGTTAATCCTCTTGAACTTGATCTTCTTGGAAGCCTAGCACCACAAATGTAATGCCTCTAATGGAGTCACACCCAAAAGCTATCAAGAAGGAAACTTGAAGGAGAGAGAGTAGGGTATGCAAAATTTCGGCCCTAGGGTTT